GGAGGGACAATCGAGGCTGAAAAGACCTGCGTGGTGGAGCCTGATCGGGGCAAGTGGGTAGTCAAATCGGCATTTGGGATCGTGAAGCATGGTGGTTTGGGATCGTGAAGCATGGTGGTGTGACTCCCATAAATCTCGATAAATCTCAGCCACCGCCCTGATCGTGGGTTCTACCCCATTGGCCGTGGGAACGCATTTAATGCCCTGGTCTGGTGGTTGGTGATCTGACCTCAAGTTGTAAGATTACTTGTGAGAATGTCTGCACCTAACCATTCTGATCTCCATCACCAAATCCTGACTTCAGTCACTTCCCTTCTTCCCTTGTGCATTAAATGCTTCTTGCGACTAGTGGGTTTGTTGCGATAGTCAGATGCATTACTTCATTAAATAGAGCGTGGGACCCTGAGGCCACGTGGCGATTTTACCACAGTATCTTCGGTCGTGTCTTTTACGGCCTTCGGCTTTGGCCTATAATACTGCGGTTGCGAGGCCGAGAGGATTCTGCCTTTGCAGCTTTTCTTTTGTTTTCAAGAAGGCGAAATGTCTAACGAAACGGTAGGTGCCAGGACCAAGAGGAAGTCCCTTCAATCATTTTATGACCGTGATTTATTAGGCACAAACACTTATAAGTTTTGGTTCCAACCCGTACATAACAATTTATGATTTTTCAAACCCAAGACCTGCTCATTTTTAGGCTCCAACCCAACGTACTATGAACGGGTCTGGTGGTTAAATCGGGTTGACCCAAAATTGTGCCCACCCCTAGTTTCTAGCTATGCCTCACAATAAAGTTCAAGTGCAAGACCAGTCTCCCTCTTTCAAGCCCTTTGTGAAGATTATAGTGGATGTAGCTTAGGACTCCATTTTGATAAAAACGGGGGTCAAAGTTGTAGTCAGCGACCACCATGGGAAGTATTTAGTGGGGAAATCTCTCTTGGTGGAAGCAGAATCAACAACTGCGGTAGAATGTGTAGCCTGCCTCAATGGGTGCAAATTTAGTTATGAAAAGGGAGGTAAAATGGTGACTCTAGAATGAGCAACATAAGGGAGCTTCAAGTGAATTTCCAAACCTACTCTTAGTCTTGAATTTGTCGCATGACCAATCAACCGACTGACCACTTGGCAGCGCTAGCTAAGTCGAGAATGAGCAATGAAGTTTGTGTCAAGAGGCTTGTTAGAAATATATCATAAAGTCAATCATGAAATGTAAACTCTAAGGATATTTCACATAATTAATTGCAAGGGCATGATGTTATTTTGAATAATAGTAGGAGTCATTCAAACAGGAAAACCAAGCCAAATTAGGCACACAAAAAACAAAAAAAATTGGGTTGGCCAAAAATCATACCCAAACAGTTTGGTCCAGTTTCGGTTCTTGTAGTGAAAAACTCAGACTCAAAATAAACCAGCTATGTATTTTTTAATTTTTAATAAAATATTTAATCCCAATGCTAAATTTCTAAACCCATAACTAATCTTTCCCCAAGCCCAACACCAAATCACATTTCTTTTCTAGGCCCAATCACCTCACTTTGAATAAAATTGGGCCATTTGTGAATTTTTAATCCCAAAAAATTAATATTTTATTGATTTTAAAAAAAAAAAAAAAAAAAAAAAAAAAAAAAAAAAAAAAAAAAAAAACTGGAAAAATGGAAAATTGTAACCGGCTTATGGGCAAACCGAGCCGCACCGGATTGAATAATGTTTTCATCAAAATCATATCGAACAAATAGTGCAAGTTCTGGTTTCTGTTTGGGGTGAGAACTGGATTGTGCCCACTCCTAAGTAATAGTCTTAATATTACCTATTTAACCAACAAGTTCATGGTTCATGACACATATGAAGTGATAAATATGTTAAGTCCATGAGACCTTTCTCTGTAAAGCTCACACCCTAAAGAGTTCTTAGTCATAGGATAGTCAATTGGGCATTGACAATCCTCAAAGACCAACATACACTATATTTGCTCAATCAAGAGGAACACTGGTCTCAAATAATTTGTGTGGAGACAATAAGATAAGTGTAGGGGCGTTCAATAGAGAATGAATTCATTGAAAACGATCAACCAAGAGAACTTAAATGGAATTTTTACTTGCATGTCAATCAAGATCTCTTAAGTTGTAATAGTGTAAATTAGTTATTGAGTTGAGATACCACAGTTGTCTCGTGGAAGCTTTGTGTGCCCTTTGCCAAGTTGAAGCGTTGTGTTCCCTCTAGTGCTTCAAGGGTAAACCCGTATCTCTTTTTGTCACTAGGTCTTGAGTGTCTAGAATGGAACAATATAAACTAAGCCTAACAGATAATTGGGGTTAGTTTTTGTTTAAGCTCAAAGATTCAATCCTAGATTTTGTTACCTAGAGATTAAATGTAATCTCACCTTTGTGGCTCAATGAAACTGCATTTTTAATATTTCCTTCAAGGCCCCTTGTCCTCCCTCACTTTTATCTTGGATAAAGATGGCCTATCGTGTCCCCCATGTAATTGTTAATTTCATGAAGGCTGAGAGGTCCTTTTGAAGTTTGGTTAGCAGATGTAGCAACATCTTTCCTTTTTCCCCTCCTAGTCTAGTAGTTTGGATTGTATTTGAATTTCGTTGTCCCCTTTATGGCTGCACTTCTTTGTTCTGTTTCTGCGTTGGCTTTGACCTTAGTTTTATTTTAATGAATATCCAAATTTTGACAACAAAGTACACTACTATATTTGGAATGGTTTTGCTATGTTAAATTGGGTTACCCGGTTGACCCATCTTCAAATCACAATCGTTGGATTAATTAAAATTTATATATTTTTTTAAACCAAAATTAGGAAGAATAAAAAGAAAAACTTACACACATAGGTATCATAGGAGCTTAAATCCAAGATTACTTGAGAGTATACCAAAGACTTAAGCCAATCTAACTAACACCATTGGTGATTTAAAATTGAATCTAACGGTAACAAATGGCAATGCACTTAATACATGCGACGACCAAAGAAAAATTAACCCCAAATCCAAATGGGAATGAATAGTCAACCAAATGTGTCTGTCGGGTCTTACCTGTCAGTCTGTGAATGTTTGCAACTATTTTGTGAGTGTGAGTACAAAATACCCATGATTATTTTTATATGACACACCCCATAGAGTCAAACACACACCCTAATATGCTGCCAAATACACTACAGCGGGGCATGCCCTTCATTCTTCTTTTAACCGTAGGATCTGTTTTTCTATTATTATTGAGGACACAGGAGGTTCAAGAAGGTAAAACAGAATCCATCCCTCTACCTTTTTCTCTTTATAAAAGAGATAAATAAAGCAGGGAAATGGAAATTTACAGCGTCTCTGTTCTTCTACTTCAACTCCTTGGATCACACACTCCAACTAACCAAAATGGACCACCGCTTGATCCACCGCTTGGATCACACATGTCGTTGGCAGTGCTGGTGTGTGATGATGTCGTCTGCGTGCGTAGGACTTGGTATTTGAGTATGTGAGCTACACATGTCGTTGGTAGTGCCGGCGTGTGAGCTATGGAGTTCCGTCCCCCGGTTGGACCACTCATCCCTAGACGCAGGTTAGCACCTGGAAATCCTGCGTACTAGCCAAACAATATATATATATATATATATATATATGTATGTATGTAGTGGGTTGGTAAGAGCTGCATAATTTTGGGATTGGAGTTGTGGTTTGAGAGTTTGGGTTTAAATGGATTTTTGAGATTTATGCTGTTGAGTATTTGGTTTTAACAGGACTTCAGTGTCTAATGTTTTGAGTATTTGATTATGATGTATGAAATTGCATGCTTGAGCATTATTTTTACATGGTGGGGTTATTATGTTGTTTTTAATGCAACTCTTGTTTTTGTCCACTCACATATTTTCTGTTTTGCGCCCCCAAGACAGTAGTCGCTTATGAAAGCTTGCAAGCGGTGTTCGAGGCTGAACTGTTTACTTCCCTAGTTAGGATCTATGTAATTTCCTTCTACTCAACTGTTGTTGTAAACTATTCTGTTAGATGCTCTGTTATTGCCCATGTTAAGTTTTTACTTGAGGTCAGAGGCCATTTAGCATGTTTAGTGAAATGTTGAAAGCATGCTGGCAGTTGGGATTCTTATTATGTACATTATGCAAGTTGAATTTGTGTTGGGTTTGTGCATTTTATAGGGGAGACCCTGCCAAATTTTTGATCAAAAGTCTCGGTTTTTGGTAAGTGAGCCCGGCATCGGGGTAATGTCGGCAAAAAGACGGGATTCACTGCGATTTCAGGGGAATTCCGGGGCAGGTCCTGTCAATCTGTGAGAGAGAGATAAGTTTTTTTGTTTGGAGGGGAGGGGAGACTGAAATGAAGAGGGAAAGAGGAAAGAAAAGTTAGGGTTGGGGTTTGGGTTTGGGGAAAGAAGAGTTGGCGTTGGGCGATTTGTTTTTTTTTTTTTTTTTTTTTTTTTTCCTCTTTATATTCATGGGTCGGGTTTTTTGCGAATTGTAATGGGTCGTGTTTGGGTCTGATATTTTTCATCCGCCCGTTAACTTAACGGGTTCACACGAACACAACCTGAAACTTGTTAAAACAACCCATTTGCCAGGTCTAGTATTTAAGGGTAGTTTGGGAAGATACCAGGGCCTTCTTAGAAATTGTGAAATTTTAAATTAGAAGTTGGGGTGAACACCGTGAACATAGAACAAGTGATTCTTATCAACTAAACCAGGCTTCTAGAGATACTGAAAATTAAAAAGGATTTGCACGCAACTATAAGGAAAATATGGTCCCGTGCTTTTTGATGGCAGCACAATAACATTATACATGTTAGCCAAGTTACTATCCTAGTGTCAGCTTAACTTTTAAATCTGTGTATGTGTTTTAAGACTCTTGTTAATGCAAGATAGCATTACATTTGTAGCAAAGTGCTAAATTATAGTACATCCAGTACAAATTATTCAACCCAAAGCACGACACACAGAGGTAGGAAAATTAATTAAACTGACAGGAGCAAGAGAGAGAGAGAGAGAGAGAGCTTTGACTATCCATTGAACTTGTCATGCAGTAATCTAATAGCAACCATTCCCCCAACATCACTGAAGAATTGACGCAGATGTTCATCATTTGCCCGCAAAATACCAACAGTTTTCTAAGATCACGCATGTGCATTAAAAATAAGAGAATGAGAAGGGATACTGGGGGCGTATACTTGCCTTAAGGTTAATATTTGATACAAATGCAGTGCACTGGTCAGCATATACTTTTGTTTCCTCTGGAACACGCTCTTTCATCCGTTGCTCATTTTGTATATCTGGTTTGTGACCCTTTGGTTTGATCTTTTCCACTGTTTGTTCACCTGGGTTCAGAACATCAGAATCCTTCCCATGTGCTTTATTTGGCTTTTGAGCTGCATCTTTCTGCCTCTTTGCTGGATAATGTTCATCAGGTATCTCTGAAACTTGCTTTCTCTTGTCACGAACATTCTTCTTGGAAGAATTCTCCCCCTCTTCTGTCAATTTGGACTCTAGCTGTGACCTAAATAATAGAAGCTCATCCAGGCGAGGAGTGACCTAGAAAGAGGAGCACAAGTAAATATATTCAATTAACAAGGCAATACATATGCATACTTACTCAAATTGAACCAAATAGGATACCAGATATAGAAGCACTAGTACTGGTTTACTCAGTTTTGATAGAGGAAACATCCATTCCATCATTTTAATATGATGAATTGTAAAAATAGTTTGATATTGATTGAGTGATAAATCTCCATTAAGATTACCTAAGCTGAGAACATCGCACAACCCTCAGCATGATTTTCATAGTACAGTTCTTTTGACAACCTTTCCAACTTTATTTTATCGTTAACTGTTCTGTGACCCATAATAAAGGGAACATAAAGTAGAAAAATTACCTTCACATATACCAAACTCCCTCTCAAAGCGTAACCATGAGTAGCAGATGTCCCGAATTATTCTGTTTTTTAGGAAGGGAAGGCATCATCTAATTCCACATGTATTATGTAGCAAGTGAACAAACTTGTACATAATTATAAAACACAAATCGACAACATCTAATAGAACCTTAAAACAGCATTTTTTTCCACATCATAAATTAAACAAGCAATGTCTCAGGGTAGTTACATTTTGTAATGAAACTACATGTCAACTATATGAGTCGGTATAAACGCACACAAAATGCGAACAACTACTACCAAAAGACAAGGCCTTTTAGGAAGGAAGCAGGTATGCAAGACTGATATAATTTACTAGACAATCCACCGAATCACTTAATAACGTACTTCATAATTTAGCCTTCCAACAACAAAAGAGCGTCTAAATACGAGATCCATAAGAGTTTTGGGATCTTCATTCTATGGACAGGTTGGACCAAAGTTTGACCACAAAGATAAAGAAACAGGTCAACACAAAAACCCCTACGTATACATAGATCCAAAAAGTTATATTGTTCATCCTCCTGCCATTGATCTCCCTCATGCCATCCTGAAATATATTTAGTGTTATTTCCACTCTGGCCGCCTCCTGTGATGAACCAACATACAAATAATTAATTTTATTTGTTTGTCTAAACCAACATACAAATAATAGGCGATGTTATACCCTTGGATTGTGTGGTCGTAAAACATCTGACCAAAAACGGGCGAAGAACCCTTGACCTTCCTGCACCAAAACACACACAAAGTTAGATGACATAAAGGAAGCTCATAATTTGATCATATATATAGCATATAATCAAATGTGAAGAATAAGGGGATGGGTGGATGAGGCTTGAATTATATTCACCACATAAGGAGGGTCCCAATCCGGGTTGAAACGAGGGTTGATTTGCTTGACGATGCTAATAGGGTACTTGATGGGCCCTCGTTTCCTTGGTGGATACTTAGAGCGATAAATGCAAGTGGCACACGCACAATAAGATCCAGTGAACTCCAAATTATTGCCGTGGCAAACTGGGCATTTCTCCAATGGCCCATAAAACAGCAAGTCTTGGCTGCCACAAACGATTATAAGTTGTAAAGTTAAACGAGGCACAAACAAAAATAGTTACTCTCATCATTGTGCCTAAAAATTTGAAGGTTCTGAGGCCATAATATATCTACCATCTTCGGAGAAGAGCATCATCAGAGCCAGACAAAGCTTGGCCATTAGCTTCCAAGAATTCACCTACTTGTTCAATTGAGAGCGCCGCCTTGACTGATTCTGAGAATTCCTTAAATCTAGCAGCTATGTCTTCTATTTGGAGGTCGAGGTTGTCAACCGCAGGGAGTCGGTCCACCTGATCGTGAGAGACAATGAGAGAACATCAAAGAGAGAAAAGGAAGAGAGGAGAGGTGAAGGGATGAAAGAAGAAGGAAGCGACAAAATATTCTAAGCAAAATAAAGGGGTATGCGTGCATTATAGGACCAACTTATTCAATAGAAAATTGGACAAGCTTGATAGATATTCATACATTGCAACAATTTTAAAATTTGAGCGGTCTTTGAATCAAATATATTTCTGAAAGATAAAGTGTTGCATGAGTTAAAATTCATACGATATATACCTAAACTGTTTAACAATAGCCATGAAAATAGCAATTCAATGCAAAGGCACTGTATAATGTGACCAATATATATACTATAAACTTCACCTCGAGTATAAATCCCAAATAAAAACTGTGAAAAGATCCAAATAAGTAAAAGAAAATAAAAACTGGAGTTGATACCGTAGTTCTTGCTCTCCGATTTCTCATGTTTGCTGCCATCGGAAACCCCAGAGTTTGTGTTCGCTGGTCTTGTTTGACCTGTAGTTTATTATGCGATTAAGTACAACATCAATAAAATTGGACCAAACGAAAAATAGAAAATTAAAATTTAAGGTGGAAAACATGGACAGAAAATTCGTAAATTTCATTGAAGACCCACTCAATTGTTAGTGTCCAACCAAAACCTTACAATTAAGGCAAAGTTGAGAGAAGTGTACCAGGTGTGCTCGGAGGAACTGCAACTGCTTGGTTGGTGAACTTTGTCTAATATCTGCAGTGCACAACCAGGCAGGAGATAAAACTTTAGAGGAATTTTATGTTAAATAACTTGCCTTCTAGATCTTGTTCTTTGATGTAACCGACGGCAATAGACTAAACTAGCAAATATTAAAACACTTAGAAACACACAAGAATTATACTGGTTCGGCAGAACTTTTGCCTACGTCCAGTTGTGATTTCTCTAGGTCCTTTGATTAATAATAGAGATTACAGAACTTTTGCAACCCTAGAACTAATCTCAAAACTCTTGGTTGTCTCTGGCTGTTTTTCCTCTCCTTAAAATAAGCCTTGCCACACCCTATTTATAGATATAGAGTTGGCTTACATGTCCCAAGGCTGATTGGATTCCTATTCCTAAGTGGATTAGGAAATTACACTTATCCAAATCCTAATAGACTTCTAGAAATCCAAACCTGAATTGAACAAGGAAAACTGAAATTCTTTCCTAATCCCTCTAGGATAAGAATTGGTATACCTTTAATTTTCCTAAAACAATCCTAAACCAACTAGGACATATTTGACGAGCCAAAATCCTAACATTTTAGAATAGACTGGATCCCAAGGGGAGCCGAGGGTTTTATTTTATTGTTTATTTTTATAATAGAAAAGCATATCCTTCCTACGTAAGAGACCAGAGTTCAATAACCAACCAATACATAGACTCAGATTATGTGACAAACTGCATTCTAAGATAAACCTTAAGAAAACTCATACAAACATGCACTGCATGATCGATCAGAGATCTGGATAGAGCAAAACCATATGAAATAAATTCAAAATTATGTACAAATCAACAAATACCATTTTTCGAATTGCAACAAGCATCAATCACACAAAACCCAAATCCCAAATAAATCAAAGACAAGGCAAGAAAAACAACAACAACAAAACTTCCAAATATGATCCCAAACGACGGTCCCAAAAAAAACCCACCAAAACCCAGTAGACACCGAAATAAAAACTCACACGGCGTTACTGTACGAAAGCCGTGGGTGATTTCACGATCCCTGACATTCAAACACTGATTTGGGTTGGGAATTGGGATCCGATCGAATCCAACCGAATCGAATCGGCCCACCGCAAGCGACGAGGAGCGAGAGTGCAGAGAGAATGAGAAGCAACAAAACAAAGTTACCGTCTTGTCTCTCCAAAAACGAAAATTAAAATTTAGACCCCAAAAAAAAAAATTTCTTACTTTGAAATATTTACAATTGTGTCATTGCACTTCCGTTGCTCGTAACTTCTTTGTTAAAACTCTGATTTGGGCCCACTACGTGTCTACGAACTCCTATCGACGCGCTCTATGCAATGTTGCCACTCAAATCTCAAATATCCTTACGAGTCGAAAAGTGACTATCGTGACCTTACTCCGAGGGCAAATTTGTAATTTCACAATTAAATAAATTAAATAGATTAAATAAATTGTTAAAATTGGGTTGGGGTGTTACATTCATTATCTGGGATGTTCGACTCTAATGGTATAGGATGGTCGTCGTGTTCAAAGGCTGCCATTTTGCATCAGTTTGTCCATGCAGAGTAAAAGGCAATCCCAAATTTCAACCACAGGTTAACATTTGCAAGACAATGAGAACCAGTGATCCGAGTGCGTTAGAATGAACATCTTTGAATTGTAGAGTTGGAAAAAAATATATTTTAGTTTTACCATTTCACAATTTTGAAATGTAGAGTTGAATCTCTTAATTGTATGACATATTCTTTCTATTTCCAAAAAAAAAAGAAATCTTCCATTCGTAAATTTAGTTATATCACATACAAGATATGTTGTTGCACAAAATTAACAGATATAATGCACAATAAGCATGAGTATATATATGTAATACTAACATAATTTACGAATGAGTGACGTGATAGGTAAATGTACTTGGTAGTATGTGGGGAAGAACCACCAACTCGTCACGCCAATTTGCAAGGAGTCAGTCGTGACATTTATAACCTAATTCACTTACAACATCATCCACAATATTAACTGCTATGTGGTGACTAAAAACAAAAAAGGAAGAAGTGTTAATTGTAAGCATGAAATATTGCTATGGTCGAGGGTGTGATGCCTTGTTTCCACAATGGTGCCCTTCTGATAGCACTTGTAGTTAGTTAATCATCAGCTAATCGATATTCATTGTAGATAAGGGGTGAGAAACTATATATCCCCTATAAAAAAAAGAAAAAAAAAGAAAGGCAAGCGTGCCTATTCACGTTGTATCATGCTCAGGTCCCTCCGTAAATAAGAAAGGAAAATCTCCTCATCTCTTTAGGAGATATCCGTAATGATGTTGAAACCACCTAATCAACGGGGGAAGGAAGTGAACTCTTCTAGACCCCTCACACTTGTCAGAAGCTTCTTCGTTGGAAGAGGTCTCTACCTTTGAGGTCGTAATGGAGCCTTTATTTTTGGGGGTATAGTTTCGAGTACATGATTGGAAAATTTGGCCTTCGTTTTTCATTTATGTTGGCCTATGGCAGTGCTTGAGCTTGCATGTCTCGCGATGTGTCCTTCCTTCTTATGAAGTGGTTTCATCTCTACCTGCAATTCATTTCAAACAACTAAGTTAAGCATTGAACCAAAACCATAGAATCAGTTTATCAGTTTGTTTTATTGATTTCTTTAACTCTACCGAAATTCAGGCCAGTTTCTATTAGGGTGTGGGCATGAGTTATATTGGGTCGAGTTTAGTCCCAACCCGTAACCCAACTCGATATATAGCGGTTTATAATTTCTTGGACCCAAGAATAACTTACCATTAGACCAACCCAACCCAAATAATTTGTGATTAGGTTGGGTGGTTTGGTTGGATTAATTGAAAATTAAAGCCTACTTATAAGTTTTGGTTCCAACACGTACATAACAATTTATGCTTTTTTGAACCCAAGACCCTCTCATTTTTAGGCTCCAAACCAACGTACAATGAACGGGTAGTGGTTAAATCAGGCTGACCCAAAATTGTGCCCACACTTAGTTTCTAGCTATGCCTCACAGTAAAGTTCAAGTGCAAGACTGGTCTCCCTCTTTCAAGCCCTTTGTGAAGATTATCGTGGATGCAGCTTAGGACTCGATTTTGAGAGAAACAGGGGTCAAGGTCATAGTCAGCGACCACCATGGGAAGTATTTAGTGGGGAAATCTCTCTTGGTGGAGGCAAAATCGACAACTACGGCAGAATGTGTAGCTTGTCTCAATGGGTGCAAATTTGGTTATGAAATGGGAGGCAAAATGGTGAGTCTAGAATGAGCAACATAAGGGAGCTTCAAGCAAATTTCCAAACCTACTCTTAGCCTTGAATTTGTCGCACGACCAATCAACCGGCTAACCACTTGGTAGCGCTAGCTAAGTCAAGAATGAGCAATGAAGTTTGTATCAAGAGGCCTGTTAGAAATATATCATAGAGTCAATCATGAGATGTGAACTCTAAGGATATTTCACATAATTAATTGCAAGGGCATGATGTTATTTTGAATAATAGTAGGAGTTATTCAAACTGGAAAATCGAGCCAAATTGGGTAGAAAAAAGCGAAAAAACCGGGTTGACCAAAATCATACCAAACGGTTTGGTCCGGTTTCGGTTCTTGTATTGAAAAACTCAAACTAAAACAGATCGGCTGTGTATTTTTTAATTTTTAATAAAATATTTAATTCCAGTGCTAAATTTCTAAACCCATAACTAATCTTTCCCCAAGCCCAGCCCCAAATCACCTTTCTTTTCTAGGCCCAATCACCTCCCTTTGCATAAATTTGGGTCATTTGTGAATTTTTAATCCCAAAAAATTAATATTTTGTTGGTTTTGTAAAAAAATTTTTTTTTTCATTTCAAAAAAAAAAATAAAAAAAATTCAAAAAAAAAAAAAAAAAAAAAAAAAAAAAAAAAAAAAAAAAAAAGGCCAAAACTGGAAAAATGGGAAATTGTATCGGCTTGTGGGCAAACCAGACAAATAGTGCAAGTTTCGGTCCCAATTTGGGGTGAGAATTGGACTGTGACCACCCCTAAGTAATAGTCTTAATATTACCTATTTAACCAACAAGTTCATGGTTCATGATACATATGAAGTGATAAATATGTTAAGTCCATGAGACCTTTCTCTGTAAAGCTCACAACCTAAAGAGTTCTTAGTCATAGGATAGTCAATTGGGCATTGACAATCAGCAAAGACCAACATACATTATATTTGCTTAATCAAGAGGAAGACTTGTCTCAAATAATTCATGTGGAGACACTAAGATAAGTGTATGGGCGTTCAATAGAGAATGAATTCACTGAAAACGATCAACCAAGAGAACTTAAATGGAATTTTTACATGCATGTCAATCAAGATCTCTTAAGTTGTAATAGTGTAAATTATTTATTGAGCTGAGATACCACAGTTGTCTCGTGGAAGCTTTGTGTGCCCTTGACCAAGTTGAAGCATTGTGTTCCCTCTAGTGCTTCAAGGGTAAAACCTTATCCCTTTTTGTCGCTAGGTCTAGAGTGTCTAGAATGGAACAATATAAACTAAGCCAAAAAAATAATTGGAGTTAGTTTTTGTTTAAGCTCAAAGATTCAATCCTCGATTTTGTTGCCTAGAGATTAAATGTAATCTTACCTTTGTGGCTTAATGAAACTACATTTTTAAATTTCTTTCAAGGCCCCCATCTTCCCTCACTTTTATCTTGGATAAAGATGGCCTACCGTGTCCCCTATGTAACTGTTAATTTCATGAAGGCTGAGAGGTCCTATTGAAGTTTGGTTAGCTGATGTAGCAACATCTTTCCTATGTTCCCTCTTAGTCTAGTAGTTTGGATTGTATTTTAATTTCGTTGTCCCTTTTATGGCTGAACTTATTTGTTCTGTTTCTGTGCTAGCTTTGACCTTAGTTTTATTTTAATGAATATCCTGATTCTGACAACAAAAAACTAGTACACTACTATTTTGGAATGGTTTTGCTATGTTAAATTTGGTTACCCAAGACTACTTGGGAGTATACCAAAGACTTAAGCCAATCCAAATAACACCATTGGTGATTTAAAATTGAATCTAACGGTAACAAATGGCAATGCACTTAATACATGCGACGACCAAAGAAAAATTAACCCCAAATCCAAACGGCAATGAATAGTCAACCAAATGTCTCTGTCGGGTCTTACCAGTCAGTCTCCGAATGTTTGTAACTATTCTGTGAGTGTGAGTACAAAATACCCATGATTATTTTTATATGACCACACCCCATAGAGTCAAACACACACCCTAATATGCTGCCAAATACACTGTACAGCGGGGCATGCCCTTCATTCTTCTTTTAACTGTAGGATCTGTTTTTCTATTATTATTAAGGACACAGGAGGTTCAGGAAGGTAAAACAGAATCCGTCCCTCTACCTTTTTCTCTTTATAAAAGAGATAAATAAAGCAGGGAAATGGAAATTTACAGCGTCTCTGTTCTTCTACTTCAACTCCTTCTTGGATCACACACTCCAACTAACCAAAATGGACCACCGCTTGATCCGCAAGCTCCGGCCTCGTCTTCTCGCGTGGCTTCGCCGATCTCGGTCTGGTACTTTAATTTTCACCTTTAGCTCATGTATTTCAACTTCTTTACCATGAATTTTTAGTGCTTTTTTCCTTTGCTTTGTGAGCAATGTGGAGTTTCTTAGGTTAATTTAGTGTGATTTAATGTAATTTGATGGAATTTGGACTTTAACTTGCTGAATTCTACCTGGGTTTGTTTTATTTTTGCTGATGTTGGTTGAATTGTTTTGGAGCTTTTAGCTATTACTCTGTTTTTGGTCAAAAGGAGTGTTTTGTGATTCATTCTGATGGATGAAGCCAGCTTTGAATCTGAATTTTGAGATTGTACTGAATTTAGTCGTTAGCACTGGTCGATTCTAATAATTTTATAGGTCAGCAGTGTCAAAATTGATTCTCTCTTAAAATTGGCTTCTTTTTTTGTCTAAAAAATAAAAAAATAAAAATTGGCCAACTAAGCAAGGATTTTAGAAGCAGATTTTAATATGTTTTCTTGGTTTGGTTGTGATATAATGTAGGATGGATTCCTCTTTTTCCTTTTCCACTGTGGTCAATATAAACTTGCACGAAGTTTGACTTATGAGAGGCAATCTTCATCAGTGATTTCTTATAAAATAATATTCATCAGTGATTTCTTAAAACAGTGTTCACCAGTCATTCTTTTCCTAATTTGATTTCTGGTTTTATATGATGTCATGGGATGATAAACAAATGGTAGACTATAAGGAATGCGAGTGCTTCTATTTTAATATATCATATACTGGACACATTAACTGTCATTTTCAGATTTATTATTTTCTCATTATTTTAACTAAAATTTCAAGACATACTAGGCATACTAATTATATGAAAATATCATTTTTTTTTCTATAATAAAACTTTATTTTTATGGAGAAATTCATGGATTTATCAAGGACAGATCATAATCTATGATGCCTTTTAACATAATTTTATCTAGTTATCCACTGCTTTTTACCTTTTTTTTAGCTAGAAAAGTGTATATTCATGTTATACATGGACAAGGGTTAACTTGGAAATTATTTGAATCCATCACCAACGTTATTCAAGTAAAATATTCTAAAAATGTGTTTTATCAATTTAGCAGTCTCATAGTAATTTGATGACAAGAGTTTGTTTAAAGTGAGCCTACACAAGGAAACACACTTGCATTTCGTTGGTTATCTAAGTTAGTATTTGATGGTATATTTTATGCAATGACATTAACCAATTATACTTTTGCTGCTATACATATCTAAATAGTAGGCACTACGGTTTCAAAATTTTCATTTATTTGCTTTTATTAGATATTTTGGCTCTGCAATTGAGCCAAAGTTGTCTTCAAAATTCAAATTTCAGCTTGGCCAGAGACTTATTTATTTATTTTTATATGTATTAGTTAACCACGTTAGAGATCTGGTGAAAAGCTTGTAAAAATATACAAGGCAAGCTTGACTCATGCACAGCACTTATAAGTTATGTTTGTTAGCAAATTCATGTCTAGTCAAGTATTCTTACTGTAGTATTTCAGTTGATCTTCATCATACTTTTATCTTTTGTGTTATTTGATGACCACAGACCAAGTCTTTGGAATGTTTAATGTGACTGAGTCTGGAAAAAAATGATTACTGTTAAGTTGCATCTGGTTTTTGTTGCAAAATTAATACTAAATGATTCCGTAACTTTGAGGTTAACCAGTCTTAGGGGTGATTTTGATCCATATTTGCATGAGGTGCTCTCTTTGAAGAACAAAACCTGCACACTTGATGTTTCATTCCCCACCAGACCCACATGCATGAGAAACCATAGTTACAATTTATTCCTAGTTTTCCTCACATACAACTCTTAAAGTAATTACTATGAGGCAATTATTTAACTTTAGTTTTTTCTAATATGACCATGATATCTTAGTCAGTTAGAAACAGAAATTGGATGCAATTTGTTTCCCAACTACATGAGTTTAAATAAATTTGTACTCGGAGGTTATAAGGAAATGATTTTACTCACCTGTTATATGTTCTCATTTTCAGGCAGGGTATTATTTATGAAGCGTTTTCCATACAAGGATATAAAGAGAGCAACAGATGGTTTTCAGAGTATCATGTATACCACTTCTCATATAGCTGCTTACAAGGCCAGATTTCAAGATGGTGGGGTTGTATTGATAAAAGAAATGAGAGATTACGATCAAGGAAAAGATGCCTTCTACAGAGAAGTGCAACTCTTGGGGCGCTTGCATCATCGCCACCTTCTTGCTCTCAAGGGGTTATCTACTGGACATAGACGGTCTGATCCCCTTTTTTCACTCTGTCAATTTCTTTCTTTAATTTCCACCTACCTGTCCATACAAACAGGCCATCGTTTGGGAACAGAGGAAAATATGTGTTTTTATCATGGCTTGGATATATGCCACAGTAAATCTAGAGGTCGGGGTGCTTTGCCCTCTCCATAAATGGAAAGAGGCTGGGAAATTGATGGGCATCCCTCGTGGTAAACTCCACCTTGGATACCCGACCCTCAGTTTAATAGCGTGTAATTTGATCTTAAATGAGATAAGTTATGTTCTGTGTAATCATAAAGGTATGAAATTGGCTATAGGAATTTCAGTGCAACATTGCGGGTTTGTGGCATAATGTATCTACTTACAACTGGCATAGTTTTCTTTCAGTTTATACTTATATGGTTAAACTATTTTCACAAATATTTGATAACTGCAAAGCAATCACTCTCAATTTTAGTACGTATGTATTTATATATATATATAGACAAAGAGCTTCCGTTGAGGGATCCCTCAAATAAGCTTATTTGAGGGACACCCTTATAGGGCCCACTCCGCATAGTATTTCACTAATCCAAACTGTCTATTTTGTAGATATTCATTCAAAGATTATCTCTACCCTGCTTTTGATTACCCATAACATGTGTATTTCTGCTTCATTCAACATGATCTTGCAGTGGTGTGTTTGTTTGATCAGATGCTGTATTTCAGCTTGTATTGAATTCAGACTACACTAGGTTGTTATTGTAACTGTGTTCGAGTTTTTTATTCTGTAGTGAATAATATAGGCTTTGCGAAGAGAATCGGGTGGGGGAAAACGCATTATGCCTTTCTTTTCCTAGACTTTATAAATTATCACAGTTCTATCATTTTTGCATTGCTAGAGCATGTGTTAATTTATCCTCCTTGTAGTTGGAATTTGATTTTGTGGGAATTTGAATGATCTGGAACTTAGGGAGCTGTTGTCCTTATCAACCCTGTTAGAGAGTGTGTAGTGCTGATTTCACTAAGGGCTGATAGGAGGAAGTGGATGTTGGAAACATCAGGGGATTTTTCTGGTAAATCCTACTTGAGACATTGATGGGAAACCTTTTTCTTTGTCCTTATCCTCTATTGCAATTTAGAGGGCAAAAGTGCCTTCTAAGATACTGGTGTTAGCATGGAATTTACTCATCGGAGGGTTAACACTTGTGACATGGTCCAGAGGAGAAGACCTTCTTTATATCTTTTTCCTCACTGGAGTGTGATGTGCAAAGATAGAGCACAGAGTGTCAACCATTTGTTTTTGCATGTCTGGTAGCATAACCCTTTGGTTAAGACTGCCAGGTAGACTATGTGATCATTCGAGCTGAGTGTGTGACAATATTTGCAAGGGCCATATGTTTTTTGGTGGAAGAAAGAAGGGTATGGTTCTGTGAATATGTGTGGCGATGGCTATTGTTTTGGATAATTTAGACGGAGAAGAGTAGAAGGATATTTGAGAATGTTAGGGGTGAGGAGATGGATTATCTGTGGTAGATGGTTCACTGTCGGGCATCTCCATGGGCTTCAATCTCTTTAAATTTTTGGGATAATATTTCTCTGCTATTTTTTCAGATTGGAATGCAGCTGCTTATTAGTGTCTTCTGTACTTTGCTGGCTTTTTTGTATTTAAGGTTGTTACTGGTGTAGGTAGCTGTCTTATTAGGATTCTTTAGTTCTTTGCTCCAGTATCTTGTCCATTTTTTTGTAATATTTCTTTCTCTTTTAATGATGTTTCCTATGAAAAAAAATATTCGATTTGAAAAGCTTTTAGTTTTCAGCATTGCTTAAGTGTGGTTTCTGCTGAATGGGCTCATGACATGATGCTTTGTTTCATTGATTCTTCTCAGTGGTTTTGAAATTCTTGTTAATTTCCTGAAATCTATATGTAACGTAAAACTCATGATAAACCTTTGAGGAAAAACTTTGACATTCCTTCAAACTTACGTCTATTACTACGGATAATTTTGATATAGCTCATTCTGTCCATAGTCTCTGCAATGTATGAATAATTATGTACCTTAGCTGTTGTCCGACAAATTATTAGTTGCTCTGTGTTTTTCCTATACATCTGTTCCTTTGATTTTTTTTATTTACTTTTTTCGTTTTCTTTTGTTTCAGGTTGCTAGTTTTTGACAACATAGAAAGAGGGAGCTTGAAGGAGCATCTTACTGGTAACATTCTGAGCAGAAGTTTGTGTATGCATGTATCAGAAAATCAGTGCAAAAATTTGATTTTCACATTATTGTTGTCAGATCCCATTAGAACTCCCTTGGACTGGAAGACAAGGCTACAAATAGTCATTGGTGTGGTAGCTGCATTGGTATGTTTTAGAAGCAAGACATAATCATCTTAACTAGCAGTACAAACAATCACTACATAAATTGATTGTGTGCATCTTGTACACCTTAAATCACGTTTTATTAAGATGATTTGCAAATATTAAATTAGTGTTGAAAATTTTATCTATTTAATTTTTATGTTTAATTGTTAGGCACTTGCAGTATCATTTTCCACATCTACAGCAGGATACTGTTTGAACTGGATTTAATCTGCTGGTTCTTTTATTGCATCCAATCCAAGCAGAACTTTGAACTCTTTGGTTACTTTGCATCGATTATGTATAGGTATGGCCATATGAGTTTAGCTTACACTGTACTGAAACTTCAATGCAGGAATATTTGCTTCTCTTCAATGAACCTCCAATGTATCATGTCTCCATTAGCTCAAGTAGCATCATGCTAGATGAAAACTTTAATGCAAAGGTAAGGGTTCCATTTATCTTATCATTTTCTGAAGATTTGGATCTACTTGGTGTCCTAAAGGCTAATGCTGTCATCTTTGTCAAACATCAAATGACCTTCTTTCCTGATCACAGCTTTCAGATGTTGGCCTTCAAAGTTCTGGTGAAAATTATGTCACAGTACCTCATACCTCATGCGCTAAAGGTTGACTTTCTTTACCATCATCCCTTTAAATACTAATTGTAATCCTCATCTTCCCCTTTTTTGTTTTTGGCAGATTGCATGGGTCAGGAATGCGGTAACATCATGTTCCAGCTTGGGGTGCTGATACTGGAGCTCATCACCGGTCAGTCATCAGATGACAGGGCTGCTGATCTGGTTCAATGGATCCGAGAGTATCGCTTCTGTAGCTCCATTCACAAGATGCTAGATCCTGATCTAGGTAATAGTTATGATTCTAGGGAGCTTAAAAGTCTTCTAGCTGTGGCAAAGTTGTGTGTTAGATATGGGGATAAGCCAAAGATTTCTATTCTGCAGGTACTTCGGTATCTCCATAAAAAGATAGAAAGTCCACATGACTAGTATTTTTACTGAATATCATTTCATAGTGAAAATTTCCTATGTTATGAAATCCAATTGATTGTTTCTTGGAGAGTTTTGTCCTCCCACTCCAAACATTTGGTGAACATTTTGCCTTTCTCAGCGGTTCCCAAGTTCTATTTGGGCTAATTGGACTCAGATACTGATCTTCTGTTTTCTCGAAGAGTCCAATCTGGATGTTGTGCACATGAAAACGGCAGCGTCTCTTAAAATGTTCAATTGGCTAAATGATGGAACCCTAATAGATCCTTCTCTAGGAAAAGAAAAAGGTCCAGAAAGAGACAGGGTCTCCGGACTTTGTTAACAAAATCAATTTCATCCATTTCTTAATCTTTAGGAGTTAGTTCTGATTGAACAAAAATGTTCAGAGTTGAGTTATTTTAGAAAGCTTTCAGTGGACCAGAAACAAACACGAGATGTTAAAAAAAGCATATCCATGTCCAACAAAAATCCTGCTCAGAAAAAGAGAAAAGCCAAGCGTCTTTGGACTGAGAAAAACTTAGTTGCAACTGCTATTCCCGAATCCCCGACTAATAATGCTATATCACGTGGAACTGTTATCACACGTCATACTGTTATTGGCCGAAAATAGAAAAATAGTGTTATTCCTATTTCATGAAAGTCTTTCTCCTTTGGACTTTGTGACCAAAATCTCTTTCTTAGAGTCAGTTCTGAACTTCTTAGAGATGTTGCCTGAAAAAGCTATTTTTCTTCTTATCCCACAGGTGCTTCGGCAAATATATCAGACTTTCAGTACTTAAAAGTAACTTGTCGAGGACACTTTCGCTCACCATCAAATTACCACTTCGTTAATTACCGTTGGTTACAGTAACTAGCTCATTCCTTGTCGAGGACACTTTTGCTCACCATCAAATTACCACTTCGGTAATTACCGTTGGACAATATAAATTTTGAAATTTGTACTCATTCAACGGCACCAATTTATGGTAACGAGCAAAGCAAAAATGCTCTCTTGTTTGTCAAGATCCTGAAGATCAGCAAAAGTACAATTACTATAATAAGAACATACAGTTACCACCTCATTTTCACCCCCAACTACTACCTCAGTTACCGACAGCAAAAGTACATAAAGCCAAAAAGAAGTCATTACCATAAATTAATAGGGTGGTGCTAGAGGCATCAACTTTGGGCACCAACTTGGGCACTAACTCTCTAATAGAGGTGGAGCCCGCCAATACACCGGGTCCCACGCTCTATTAGAGAGTTGGTGCCCAAAGTTGATGCCTCTAGCATTTTCCAAATTAATATTTGCTACACATCATTCAATTCAGCATTTTTTAAAAAAAATTAAGAAACAAAAAAGATAAAATGGGCACAGAAAAGAAAAGATTTCTTAAAGAGTAGTAAGAATGATGGTCATTTATCAATAGTTCAAGAATAACAGGTTCGAAATCATAACATAACATTTGATTATAAAAGTTTTCCAAAATTCTAGACTCCAACTAGCTAGACCGCCATCCATCATCACAGCCAAGCCCCTCTCCCTCCTACCTCAGTCATCAGTTGTTCTTCAGCCCCCATCACTTCAGAAAACTTCTACAGGTTCTAGAAACTATCATCACTGCTGTGCGCACTGCACCCTCTGAGCACCACCAGGCATGTCGTCATCCTCGTCGTAAGCCTCCGCCTGAGCCTGCTGCTTCCTCCTCATCTCCTCCTCCATGTTCACATCATGCAGAGTTGTCTCCTCACACTCATCCACCTCCATATCTGTAAGCTGAGATGCTCCTGGCTTTGATGGAAGAATAGCTTCCAATGCCTTGACCTGCTCTGGGTTCAGAGACTCAGGGAAGTCCACATTGAAATGAATGTACAGCTTCCCCTTCATGAATGGCCTTTGGTAGAGGGGCATCCCCTCATCATTGATCGCCTTAAACGAATCTGCATTTTCGGTACCACCAAACAAAACCAATCATAAGGTTAATAAAATGTCTGAGAAACAACAATCAATACCAAAACCCAAAACCATGTGAGTTCATGCTCTTTACTAACCAGGCTTGACAACTTCACCAGGGTTTGATTTGATAAGCAGCTGCCTGCCATCCAAATGGGTCAAAACGAACTGGAAGCCACAGAGAGCCTCGGTGAGGGACAGAGAGTGCTCCACAAAAAGGTCCTCACCCTTTCTCTTGAACTTTGGATGTTCTTTTTGATGAATGATAAACACTATATCACCAGTGACTGTCTCAGGCTGCAATCACCAAAGTGAGATGTCAAATTAATCAACCGCCACATTTATGTATAAGAATCAACAACTACTACTACAAAATCACAATTAAGGACAACACAACATACAGCTTCATCTGCTTCACCAGGGAATGAGATCTTCTGTCCGCTTTGCATACCCTTCTCCACAATGACTTCCAAAACCTTCTTCTCTTGAACAACCTTTTCTCCTTTGCACTGCGTGCAGCGGTCTTTGTCACTGATTGTCTCTCCAGTACCTTTGCACTCATTGCAAGCGTGCTGCATCTGTTGAATCATAGAGGGGCCAAGGTGCCTGATTGTGACCTTCATACCAGTTCCTTGACAGCCCGCACACTTCGACGAAGCCCCAGATTTCGACCCCTTACTGCCATTGACAACAACATATCAACATCTCATGTGAGCATTACACATATAAACCACCAAGGTCTAAACTTCATCATAGCATCAAGCTAAAAATTACATATTCAGTACTTTCACTCACCCATTACATTTGGAGCATAACACATTACGCGATAAAGACAGTTTCTTTGAAGTCCCAAGATAGATGTCCTCCAAGGAGACCTTCAGTGAGTGGACCACATCTTCTCCACGTCTCTGTCTTCGGCCTCTGCTACTGCCACCACCTGCTCATACAAAGAAATACAAAACTCATTCACATCCATTGTACTTCACAAAATCAGAACCCCGAGTTAAACCATGAAAATTAATCACACGATTCTCACCTCCAAATGGGCTACCACCAAAGAAAGACGAGAAGATGTCAAATGGGTCGTGGCCGCCACCACCGCCACCCATTCCTTCCTTGAGTGCATCCTCACCATACTGATCATAGATTTCACGCTTCTCAGGGTCACTCAGAACATCATAAGCCTGAGCCAACTCTTTAAACTGCGAAAAATATGTACAAATCTCATTAGGCCTACAACTAGAATGAATTTCAAATCGACCAAACAACCCCAACCCACTATCACATAGATATACTTTCATCTATAAAAACAATTGAAAAACAAATTTTTAGGTCAACCCAGGATTTTACTCGATCAAATTCAATAAGAACAAAAGGGCTTAACAGAACCACAAGAAAAATAACAACAGGACGATTAGAATCCACAAAAACCCATTTCTCAAAATCCCATTACAGAAACAAAATGGAGAAATCTGGAGAAAAAGGAAAGACGGGTAAACTTACTTTCTCAGGATCTCCACCCTTGTCAGGATGGTTCTTGATGGCGGCTTTCTTGTAAGCCTTCTTCAAGTCGTCATGAGAAGCGTTCTGCGACACTCCCAAAATCTCATAGTACCGAGTGTTATCGCTCTTCTTCGGCGCCCTCCCGAACATCTTCTTCGATTAAATTTGATTGATTTCTTGAAAACCCAGAACCCAAATCAATCTCAGCGACTCCGAGGCTCCCAGAGAATCTGCTATTTTCTTGGAACGAAAGCCAGAACAGAAGAACAATAACAACCTAAAGAGTGCTACTAGGGGAAGTAGTAGCCGCGTGTATATATATAGAGATATCAGGTGCTTATTCGAGAGAAATCAGTGGACGGTTGAGATTTGAGTTTGTAGTTAGGAAGGGTCTAGAATTCTTCTCTCGAGGCTTTTGGTCCTTGTGCATTGTGGACCGTTGGATGGTTTGATGACACGATTATATTTCTTTGCAAGTTTTATTAGGAAAGAAAAGAAAAGAATAAAATAGAGGAAAATGTTTTTGTTCTGGATGCTTCCTTGAAAGCCCGCCTTCTTGCTTTTTAGGTCTTCGTCTATGTGGTTAGTTATTCTTGCCGACCACCGTGTACATCCACAGTTTATTCCTTGAACCTTCTCCTTGCTTATTTTTTACTCCTTGTCTCACATTCCACCACTCCTTGGTCAGTGGTCTAAATTGGAGGTTCTATAGAGTAATATACATTATTTACACCTTGTAAGTGCCCATGAGAAAATGAGGTTCCTCAAGCCCAAAAGTCAAACAACATGGTAACTGCGCATCATTCTCCTTCGCAATTTGTAGTTTCCTGCTATCTAAAATGATCTTATATATGTATCTTAAAGTGGATGAACAACGACCCATCTTGGCACTAATATGAGGGACACTACCTGCGTCGTGCCAAATTGAAAATTTATTGTTTTTTTTTTAAAGGCACTATTTTTTAAGTGCCAATTCTTATTTATAATTAATTATACAAGAAGTTCGTGATCTCAAAAATTTTATCACAAAACGTTCTTGAGGTTTACGAAATTATCACGTTGCGTCCCTTTTTTTTTTTTGGGTCACTTGTGGTCCTTAACATACGTGCTCACAAGTAGCCCTTGCAGTGAGATTCAATCAAACAATTTGTTAGTTTGATGGCGCAATACATATGTTATTCCCGTATACAATAATCTAATGGGATTTATACTAAAATTGCCCATTTTCAAAACCTTTATTCAGTAATACCCCTTTTGCAAAATTCTATTCTAATATAGCCTTTTGGTCACATGTTATTACTCCATACCCTTCATATAAATATATACTAGCCCCTTGGCACATGTTCACGCATGTGCCAACTGGTATTATTTTTTATTTTTATTTTATTTTTAGAATTAATAAAAGATAACATGAGTTACGCATGTGCCAATTGGTTTTATTTTTTATTTTTTATTTTATTTTTGGTATTAAGAAAAGATAACATGAGTAGTTATGTTCCATAAAAGTAAGACTTATTATTTTATTTTATTTTTATTTTTAATTTTTTTAATATAAAAAATGTGAATTTACCATATTATTCTCATTTAATTAATAATTTCAATTCTTAATGTTTGAATTAACCAAGGGCATTTTTTGGTATTTTTAATGTTTCACCATTCTCTGCCTTTTGCTTTATATATATAGATAAAAGTAGGATCTATTATCTAATTTTGTTTTTAATTTTAATTTTTTTTAATATGAAAAAATGTGAATTTACCATATTATCCTCATTTAATTAATAATTTCAATTATTTATGTTTGAATTAACCAAGGGTATTTTATGGTATTTTGAATGTTTCACCATTCTCTACCTTTTGCTTTATATATATATATATATATATATATATAGATACAATGATGTCCCCATAGTGCATGCTCTATTTTGTTTTGTTTTTCATCTTTAGAAATCAAATTTCCCAATCTCTCTATTCTCTCTCCTCTTAGAAACCTTCTCATACTAAGGTGTAGTGACCCTTTAGTATTGCCCTATTGGTATTCTTCTATTGTCCTGTTAGTGTCTACTGAGAAATCTTTCTCTCCTCTCTTGGTCAAAATCAAGCTTCCTTTTTCACTATACCCTCTCAGCGTCCTTTCTCTCTACAAAACCCAATCCCTTGAAAATCATGTCCAACTATTCTTATCTCCTCCTACAAACCCACACATAAATCACTACAAAACGGAACGCCTTTAACGAGGGCATTTTGTCGTCTCAACAAGCCTTTTGCCGTCGGAAATACCCTTTTTGACGGCAAAAGTCCATCGAAAGTCATCGGTAAAACGTTGGTTGGAAATACTTCTTTTAGCGAGGGCATTGCTTAAATTTCTATCATTATCGACCAAAAGAGTTTGTGGAACATATTTAATATCTCGTCGGAAATGAGTATAACAAAATATTTCCGATAGTAAAGTTACGTCGGAAATATATATTTCCAACCATAGTTAGTCATCGCAAAGTTTGTCGCAAATAGATTAATCTTGTCGGCAAATATTTTCAACGAACAAGTGGTCGGAAATATAATTGTTCTAACCCGATTATGTCGTGGGGAATGTTGTCGGAAATAGGCAATTATTGTAGGAAAGTATTTCCGATGATGAAGAGTTTGTTGGAAATATGCATTACCGATAGGGAAATGCGGTCGAAAAATGTAATTATTTTATATAAAAAAATTACTAAAAATACATTTGAATTACAATATTTGCTGGAAATAGGTTTCTAATTATCTGTATTTAATTGGTAACAAAAAAATTCATATGACACCATATTGTACTATAATTTTAAGCATTCAATTTAAATTATCAAGATAGTTAAAACATAAACAATTCTCATCATCCTTAAAACATATAAGAATCCACAAATATATCAAAACCTTGAAATTCAAAATGCATATTGTAGCAAAATAAAAATGATGTTGCACTACCCGTCTTTGAGGTGAGCATCTGAACAATTTTCTTCATTGTTCTGTCGAATAAAAGATAATAATTAATAATACATAATAAGTCAATTGAAAATAAAAATAACAAATACAATATTTAATAGTGAGCAAAATATTGAAAGGAGAAGAAAAGAGTTCACCATTGAAACAGATTGTCTTGAGTGTGCAAAAGTATTTGAGTTGTTTTCCCTCATACTTTGAACCGGATCTTTCAATTCATACACCACATTTCTCAAGTCCTTCACTTCCTCCTTTAATTTCTCATACTCTTCTTCACATTCTAAGCATATACGTTTACTACAATCTTGGCCATATGAGGGATACACATCTTTTGTACTATAACCACCACCTAAGTCAAGGGTACGACAGTGACTTGGCCTACCAATAACCTTCTTGTATATATCCCAATCATTTACTTCATTCTCTTCTTCTGTTGCAGTAGCCTTTTTATTCTCCATTTTTTCCTTCAAAGAAATATTAGAAATGTAAACATGGATATAAAAATATGTCATGTAATCAAAAATAAGAAAATGATAAACAAAGTGGGGGCAACATACAAAAAGTTCTTTAGCCTTTTCACTTGGCCAACTTTCTTCTCCTCCATTCTTAGGCTTACTTACATGGAACTTTTTGAAACAATCAATTGGACTAGGTTCAATTCCAGTTTGATCAAGCTATTAAGATTTAAACAATGAAGTTTGTTAGGACCAAATTTAGATACAACCACAAAAGGTACAATCAACAAAACAACAACCAAATGGATATTTTTACCTCATATTTTCTATACTTTTCCATTGGAATAGAACTTGTGGTATGCACAATTGTGTATTTCACTCTATTAGACTTGTTTCTTTTACTTTTATCCTACATGAAAAAAAGTAAATCATCATAACCTAATATCAACTTAGTGAACCCATATAAGGCATCTACAAATAAACCAAAGCATACACTAGCCAATCATAACAATATTATTTTAAATTGAGTTTTTACCTGCCATGTAGTCTGCTACCAATGGTCAACCAATTTAGACCAAACATCTTGAGATATCCCTAATGGGCAATGAGTGTATCTATCACCAGTAGTCTTGTACTTCTTAAAAATGCAATTTCTCAATTCGAACATCCAATCGAAATATCGCAATTTAATATATAGTTCGAATGCAGCCCTCATCTCTTCTTCTGAGCATGTGTGTATATATCATGTTCCATTAAAGCGATCATACAGTAAATCCATTTGAGTTTATGGAAATTTTTTAAATGTTGGCCATGCTCCATCAATAACCTGATGAAAAAGCACTTCTATAGTTTGCACAGCTCCAGTGGTTATAATCCTGAAAATTTAAACCAAATTTAAATAAATAAATAAAATGAATTTGCGCAAGAAATGGCTAACTTTGCAGGCCTTATATATTAGATTCCTCTACGTATTACAATTGGAGTGCCATTTCCATCTTTACCTTTAGCCTTCCCTCTACCTTTTTTTGTTGCAGCAGTTGAATCTAATAAAATAAAATTACGGATATTTACAAATGTGTGTATATATATTTTAAACCTCGTATATATATATATATATATATATATATATATATAAAATTACCTTCTTCAGTTTCAAGAGAGATGTCTTCCATTTAATTATCATGTGATGGCTCAATGGGGTCTCCATTTGATGGTAATCATATAATTGAAATATGTATATATATACCAACAAAAATTCAAAAAAAGAATTTAACTTTATAATGACAGGGCAAACAACTCATACATGTTTCCTGCATTTCGTTATCATGTGATGACTCATTGGAAATATGGCGGTCTAAGGAGAGTCTAGACGACTAATGATGTGCAGTGCCTAATGCTCTATCTTGACTCTTTCTCCTTTTTGCCATGGCTGCCATTTATAATCACAAAAGAACCCATGTCATAATTAAAAACAAACATAAATCAGAAATAGTACTTAAAAAAATTATCCATCCAAAAAGGAAAAAAAATAAAATGTTTCAGATGAACAAAGCCAGTAAAAATTATCCCTTTCCAGTCTAGAATTATAACTACATAATGGCTTCTTTAGTATTTAAAACTACATAATGGCTTCTTTAGTTAAACACAATCCAGGATTATAACTACATAATGGTATTTTTTAAAAATGTTGCCCCAGCAATATCAACATGGATTGTGTTTGAT